GTTGATATGTGTGCGGATCGGTCCGACCGGACCGATCCCGATTCGAGGGCCCCGATTATCCCCCACCTTCCCCCCTTCCCTCCCCGAGTCACCCTCGCGAGCAAACGCGGCTGATCTCTCAGCTCTGTACAAACGTGTGAAAAGCCGCGCGCGCGCGCTCATTCGTTCGTCGAAATCGAATCTGCCAGCGGAAGCATCTCGCTCGTACGATTCTGTCCGGGGAGAGAGATTTATGTCTCTCAACGATAAGATACTCCCGTAGCCTTCTCGATACTCCCCCGGCATTCGCACTGTCTTTCGCCGAGAGTTGTACATAAGTCTCCGCGGGCACTTGCGCGCGCGCGAGAGATCGTCACTCGGAGTCTTCTCTTGCTCTTCCTTCGTCGAGACCGATACGTTTTCTTCTCGCGGTCCTCATCGTCACGATTCCATTCCTTCCTGCTCGCGTAAAGCTTGTGCGCGAGTCCGCTCTCCTCCGTCGTTTCGAATTGTGCTCCCTACTTCTTCGTCCGATCGATCATTCGCTTCGGCTGCTCGCTGCACGATCTGCCTGCTGCCCCCGCCTACCGTCGTCCGGCCTCTTCTAGGTCGCGCTCGTAAACAGAACGGAGTTCTTGTAGTAACCCGTCCGCGACTCTGAAACAAAAGCAAATCGCAGGTGCACTCTGGAGTTCGCGGATATCTATCTCTTCGATTCGGCGTGGCCGCGATAATGAATTTCACCTATCCGGATAACGCGAAACGTCGCGCGAACGTTTGGCGTCTTCAGGCGTCTCTCGCAAAAAAATGACAGCGGCGCGCGAAATGAGAATGAGACGGGCTCGTACATTGCGATCGCTAAATTTAGATCTTACAGCGTCGGAGTATCGTCCGTCCGTAGAGCATGAGAGTGTTAGGCGTGTCGCGACTCTTAATGGGAATACGAGAGAGGGAATGGATGTCTCGCGGATGAAGATGCATGCGGGAGATGAATGGTCGTGGGCGTAATTCCGCTACGGCAGGGAGCTCGGGGGTTTCGGATGTGGTGTTGGATGCCTTCGGTGCCGTTGCGATACGGTGAAGGTGGACCAGCTGGGTCATTCGATGATCGTTCGTCGGGAAGAAGGCGCCGCTCACTAATTATCGTTGGCTCTCGAGACGCAGATGAACGCGGGAGGGACGCACGAGGGACGCGCGAGGTGGATGAAGAGATGGACGAACCGAGAGTCGAGAAAAAGGGTGAAAGGGGATGGGGGAGGGAGAGAGAGGGGGGCGAGGGGACTGGGGGGCAGAGAAGTCGAGACGCGTACGCACACGTTCGTAAATACGAGACCGGCCGAGTCATCGGCCTTAGCGCGGCCTTTGTGATCGAGCCGCCACTCTACTTTTTATCGAACTGTCGCTTATGATTGAAAATCACTATACCTTAATAGTCCGCGTGATTCGGTTTACTCGTCTCTCCGCGCCCGCACTATCGTCCGGGCCGCTTCAATCTGCCCGCCCTGGCGCATCATTTTATTTCATTCAACACGCGTGTTTTAATAATATTTTATTCTTTTCTCATACATACATATACATACATAATGTAGCCGCGCTCGGTGAAACGAGAAAGCTCGAACAGTTGAGCTTTAATGACAAAATAATTACATAATACGCTTAATTGTTAAGTTTTTCTGATGAAAGACAAAGTTGACAACCGATCGCTTTTGCTCTTTGGAGAAATGCCATTTCATCACTTTAATTTTTCTTGCGACAAATTTGTGAGTAACATTACCGTCGATAAAAAGCTCTCCGGGCCAAGATGTGGGAGTTGATTTTGCAAGGACGTTGCCAATTAAGAGCAGACTTGTTAATTCCTTTCGGAAGCCCCCGAGAGGGTGGGCGGGCGGGCGAAAAACGATTATTTACGTGCAACGTCACGCCGGCCGGGGCCTTGGAGCATCGAAATCGCGCTACGGATATAGTTTTTGCGCGAGTTGGAAACTTCCTTCGGACAAGTTTCCACGGAGGAGAGCGAGGCCAAGTTTCGAATATGCCGGGCTATGCCGCTGACGCCTTTGCAAGAACCGCCGCCTCGCCCACCCTCCCTCGAGACGCGACCGCCCCTGAAGAGTTTCTAATTAAAGATCCGAACTTTATTCCATATAGCAAGAAATCGCTCTACGCGTACTGCACGAAAAGCGCGCTCTCCGAATCCGAGAACTTGAGGAGGAAACGCTCCGAAATTATACGAATATAAGTACGATCGTATATTTATAAAAAATATCGTTTATATCGCGATGACAACAAAAAAACGCATAAATAAAAAAAAAACTAATCGTTTAAATTAAGTACACATGCGTGGCGACGTGTATTTCGCGCTTTAATATGACGCACCTTGAAGAGGAGACTTAACTTGGTCCCTCTCGGCTGCTTGGTGCTGCCGCGATTTTCTCTCGAGTTCGAGCTCCTGCACCAGCGATTCTGCAACAAAAGAGAAAAAAGCATACGAAATTGAAAAAACGACCGAATGATAAAACAACACACACACATGCGCGCGCGCGCGCGCGCGCACACACACACACACACACACATACACACAGAGTGTGACATCGTGCGATGTGGCTGCGTGTGGCAAAGTATTTATAATACAGCATTTACAGTATAGCCTACATAATACAATGCTGTTCCGCTGTGTAATCAACGCGCATAATGTAGTCTCACTAGCGTTCCCGGCTTAAGATTAATATCGGCGTTCGGATAACGCGCTCCGCTGCCTCGACAGCGTTGAAGGAATCGCCTCGAGGAGAGAAGTCCGTCGGCTCGCAACGCGCACGGACGGCGGGAACGACGCGCGGATTCGACGAGGCGTGAACCACGCGCGCGAAGGATGAAACGAAGCGGTAATTAGTGCAAAACCGGCAGCTACCGTCAGCCGCGCGCGCAAAAGGGGGATGGAAAAGGGACGGGCGGGATAACGGGCGAAGGCAGGCGTGAAAGGGCCGTCGCGGGTTTGCTCACTGAATTTCGCAAGGATTAGGGTGAAAACTGGAAAATGTCCCTTTAATGATATCGCGCCGAATTAACCGCGGGCACACGCGTCTCGCCCCCTCGTCATTTCCTGCCCTTCCGAGCGGTTTTATGCAACGGATACTTAAAACGGCTTGCTGAAAATTATGCTCATTCATTTCATTCATTTCGCGAAGTTACATCGTCGGAACAGATCGCGAGTTTTAATTTTCATAATTTTTATTTGTAAATTAAAAAAAAAAAATCGAGCGTAAGAATATCATCGTAATTGATGACTGTTTCAGGAGAGACTTTCTCGACTTTGTTTTTGAATCATTTGTAATTATTAGTAAAACAAATGGAATTCTCTTCAGGCAGAGGATTAAACGAAAGGAACGTGGAGCGTCACGAAGGGACGCGGATCTGATCGGTAAGCGTGAAATGGCACCTCCTTGGGCAAAGAGCAATGGTAAAATCCAATTGCGAGGCTATTAAGTCCCGGTTAACCGGCGTGCGCGCGAACGTGCGAGAGGAGTCAGCATCGACTCTGTGCTCTCTGTCCTCCGTTCCTCCTTATCCCTGGTGCTCTATCCCGCTCCATCTTTATCACCGGTGCCGGGACTAGAGACGGCGGGGCCGAGATTCCATTATGCTTTGAGCAACAATAGCTGAGGGCTGTTTCGTGGCACGTGGGTGTGAATTCGTGCGTTCGTCAGGGCCGTTATATTCCACGACTTTGGGGCACACGGAAAGCAATGTTTGCGTTTCGCTCGAGCCAAATTACCTCTCGCGCCCTTATCCGCGCGCGGGGTGTCGCGTCCCTTTGATATCCAAATGACAATTTAACTGCTCCAGATATAACGCCGCTCGCCCGCTTGCTCGCGCTCGCTCGTCCTTCCACGAGGTCTGACGAAGAAGGGTGAGAGTAGGTAGGGAAGGAAAGACACCTCGGGGCGAGAGGGGAACACCTCGGGCCGATTTAAGGAAACTTTCTTGCCCGATTCGGAACGGCCGAGAATACACCCTTTTGTTGCGTCGAGCCGAGATAAAGACCACGAAAAAGCGATTTGATTGATTGTGCGCGTACTTCTTCTTTTTTTTATTCTTTTTTAGAGATTCGCGTCCCTCATTTTGTTCCATTCTAATAACTTGGCGGACATTCGCCACCACCATTTATTGTTCGCCAGTCCGTCCGACATAAGAAAGTGATGTGCGCGGCGACGACGACTTGGAAATCCAGATTCGCGATTTCTCGCGGATATCGTTGCGTGTATAGCGTATCGAATGAAGAAAGAAGAGAGCTCGTCGCTCGATCCTGTGGAATTCTGCAGAGAGCGTATCTCGAGAGTCCAAGAAGAATGAGCCGCTAATAGTTTCGCTACCGTCTTACACACCCTGACAAATCGTCCGGACAATGAAAACAATTTCAGGCCGTGCCCCGCCGTACGGGGGCTACGGCCGGGGCCCTAAACGGTTGGCATTGTATGCCGCTACATCGCGCGCCATATCGCCCCCCCCCCGGCTTTTTGGAGGGGGTGGCGGCGCGGCGCGAGGCGAGGGTCCCCTAAAAAAGACGTCCGCGCTGAAGAAGAAGCGGGGGCCCCGATGGCTCGCCCCTCTATGACTTCGCATTTATCCGCACGTAATTAACTCCGGCACAATGCTGGCCGCGAGGAGAGGCCACCTTGCCTCACGGGTAGAAGAAGAAAACGAACCGAATCGAAACCCGAGGACGGGGAGAGAATGCGAGAGGGAAGGGCACGCTTGTGCAACTCGGGAGTCTCGCAAGAACTGGAAAAACTCCCGCGTATTGTTCGCCCGGGATCGAGAATACACCTTTGCTCTCGTACGCGAACTTCATTATTATATTCCACTTAAAAACCCAGCCCCCCCGGCGGGATGGATTCCACGAAGAAGACCAATAACTCGCGATTGATAAGCACTCTCTCGCCAGACGCTCTCGCTGCTCCTTATTCCACGGGAAGTTTTTTGCGATTACACAGCCGAGTAGTTTCCTCCGCGAAACCTGCCCGAGTACGACGGCCTTGGATTTTAACCGGATTTGCCGCGGCGGCGCCGGATATCAGATATAATCGTCAACGTGATGAGTGCACTCGACATGTTCCGTTCTTGCGCGACCGGTGAAAAAAGCAATTTAAGTATCACATCTCGAAGCGACGGTAATTGGCTGAATGCTCTTGCTCACTCGAGGATCTCAAAGTACCGAGGGGTTAGTGACGTTCGCGAGCAAAAAAGAATATAGGGCGCGGGGGGGGGGGGCGAGCGGGAATAAAGAAGAGATGCGGAGACATCTAGGGGGTTGATTTCGTGTAGCATCACGTTTTTAATGCTCTGATCTTTATGTAAAGCAGAAACAAGGTTCGAAAAGCGGAGAGAGAAATGATAGCGGTAGCGGAGCGGACGAAAAGCGGAGGGCCGGAAAGCGAAATATAGGCAGGAGGGGAGGGGGTGAATAGAAGATGCGAATAGGAGTGGGGATAGGCGCTTGAGCGCCAAGCCGACCATGAAATTGTATGAATCAAGGAGCAGCGCGGAGACACAAAAAGCGAAGAAACTGGCAGAAGAGAGGATGCGGGGGGAAGGAAGAGGAGAGAAACGAGGCTGAATCTCCGGTGTGCCCGGGCCTCCTCTCCCTCGCTTTCGAATCACGCGAATCTTATAATTTCAAATTTCCGCTAACTGCTATCATTCACCATCCTCCACTTCCATATTTTCATCTTCTTTCTCTCGATCCTCTTTGCCACGTTTTCGAAATCCGCTCGAGACGCTAATTTGCGATTCACTTGTGACTTGTCGATGCAAAGTCTGCCTCGGAGATGACAATATATTGGTAAAAAAAAAAAGAGGAAAGAGCAGGCAATATCCAAAACGATCGATGATTGTCTCGGTAATTGTTCTTTCTCCCACGCGCATAAAAATCTCTCTCTTCCGTATGCCATTCGCGTCAAAGCTCTCGAGTAACGAATTTAATCCCCTCGCAATCCGCGCGCCTTTCCAATCGGCGCCCGCGGCGATGCAAAATCATAAGTCGGGGGCAAACCTCTCTGTTGTTCTTCCTCCCCCCACTTTTTCTCTCTCTCTCTCTCTTTACTTTTTTTATAC